TGGAAACGGTTCATACAGTAGCTCGCCAGGGCCCTTATCACACCACTTTCCATGGAGGCCCATGCCTTAAATTACATCACTCAGATTGAAGGTTCAATTGATAAACAAAGCAAACAAAATGATTTGAACATTTTTCAAAAGCAATTCATCATCCATATTCAGGTGAATGTTTTCCTTGCCAAGAGACTCGGTGCTCTGGCTCCGAAACACCAAATTGGAGATTCAGGCCATACGTCAAGGATGCCCATGCCAGTGCCTCCTTGCTACTGATACAGGGGAATGGAATTACTGCCACTATTAATTAATGTATACATCGAAAAGGAACCTAGATCGCCCAGTAACATCATATAGTCCTCCAGCTCTGTGTCTGTTGGCGAACGCTCACAGAACTGCCCCAAGAATTCCACCATGAAGGAGCAATTCTCCTCCATTTCAACCTGAGAAAAAACGGGGGGAACATATATATGTCTTTAGCAGGAAACTTCAATATTGGGTGTTGTGATAACTGAAAAACGATAGTTCCCAAGCAATTGCTTATAAGTCGCTTCGTGTTCCCTGATCTCTCCTTGAGCAAATCTGCTGACAAAGCTAAATGGTGGAACCTCAGTCATATCACTTCAAAAGAAGTGATAAGCCAAAACCGGAACAAAATTTAAACTGGTGAACAACATTGGTTTTGACATGTTGGTGTTAAGTGCCAGGTTACTGTGCTATCTTTTCTCCTCAACCCAGCCCTTTGCCGCAGAAGCATCCTTCTTTCTGGAATGAAATTCTTTAGCTCCAAAATATCCTTGAAGAACTCCTCATGGAAAAACATGTGGGAATAGCCACAGGGTTAGGGGAAAACATCTGGAAAAATGATGATACTAAATCGGATATTATTTTTGAAGAATATAGTTCAGAAAATTAATGAAAAAAGGTGGTGGCAATCAAATACCCAGAGTGATAAGACCCACCCTCCACTTGTGGCTAGCATGAGCCCGCCAATCCTTCAGGAGCCCAATGCGCTCGGCAGCTGTTGCGGCCATGGGATTTGATGCCACGGGCGACAAAAAAAATGTGTTCAGGGATCAGGGTAGGACCACTAAGTTGAGTTACTCACACAATAACTATAATATGGGGTAATCTTTTGGGGCTATTATATATAGATCTAATAGGGTATTGATAATTATAATATGGGGTAATCTTTTGGGGCTATTTTATATAGATTTAATAGGGTATTGATAACTATATAGATCGATCTAATAGGCTAATAGGGTATAGCCCAAGATATACCTGAAACATATACGACATCCCGGGTGATTTGCCAATGTACCCCTTCGAACCCAGACCTTGCGAAGGAATCAATTCATCCAATTCTGGCATGGCATAAATTAGGATAAAACAGTGGCAAAAAACAAAAGGTGCATGCACATCCGTGGAGGGGGATAGGCACCTGGATGTACGATTGGCCGTGCTTCTTGAAGCCCCAAATCGGATGCCAATCCTGAAGGGATGTATTTTTTTCTGATGTGTGTTGTGTATATGGGCAACAACTGTTGGATTCTTGAAGGTTGCTAATAACTATCTCAAAAAAAGTGTTTTGCCAAATTGGGATCTAGGCCTCGCACTCCTCAGTAACGCTTTTCTGATTCTCATTCAGGATCGATCTACCTGAGAGTATTTGGGATTACCACTGGCTTGAACTTATTACAGTTGCATGTGCCATTTTTGAACATAAATTTCTGATCATAGTGCAATCCACGCTGCATAAGATCCTGAGATTATCGAATGCGTCCCCAGCAATGTCATCCACGGCACATCATGGGGCGAAGGCATTGGACATCATAGGGCGACGCCATGGGAAGCATTGGGCTAGTGGGTGATACATCATTCCCTCATTATTTACATTTAAAGGGACACCAGAATAAGTAGTCATGAACAATCTTTGAACATTGTACATGTAATAGATTGCGCCATCACATCTATACATGTAATAGATTGCGCTAGTTGTAAATAGTATATATGATTCACATAAATTCTGTTGAACCTTGTTGAGCCTCTGCGCGGGACATATATATAGTACCATATAGTACCCATGTTGGACCCTCTAATAGTCTTTTAGTTCCAACAATAGTCTTCCCCGAAAGACTATAAAAACAATAGTCCCAGACTTATAGGGTATATATATATATATACACGTATATATATATACACGTGTATATATATATACTGCATAATATAATATAATATAATATCTACCTAGATCTTCGAACACCCATTCATCTTCCCAATAGCGATAGCTTGGGGTTGTTAGCTCTATAGGCGGACGGGCGCCATGGGGCAGTGTTGTCTTACTGTGATTAGTAGCGTCTCAATGTTGTTTTGGTGGTGTCTCGGTGACACGGTCTCTCCGTGATATCTCGATAGTGTCGCGCTGTCTTGGTGGTATGTTGGTTGCGTCTTGGTCCTTGGTGGTGCTTCGATGGTGTCTCGGTAGGGTTCATTCCAGAGTGAGACTTAATGGTGTCTCAAGGGTTTCTCAGTTGGCTGTGTCTGGTGGTGTCTCCGTGGCACCTCGATGGTGTATTGGTTGTGCCTCGGTGTCTTGGTGTTTCAATGGCCCAATGGCCTCGAAAGTCTGGCTGTCTCGCTCATGTCTTGATGCCGTTGAGACGGCGGTGCCTCGGCGGTGTCTCAGTGGTGTGTTGGCGGTGTCTGGTTGGTGTCCAGGTGGTGTCTGGTGGTATCTTCTCGATTGAGCTGGCTCACCTGTCAATACCAAACTGGCATCGCAAGAAACGCGAAGCCTTGCTATTGGGGTTATATGCTGGGTGAATTTTGGTTGCTGCTGTTGTTGCACCCTTTTTTTTCGGAGTTGACCACAAGAAGTGGTAGTTTCCCAAAACCAAAGTTTTTTGGGGGGGCAAAACTGGCATCAAAATACCGTAACCAATTTATACCACATTGGTAATTTTGTGATTTTAGAATGCCTCGATCCAGCGAAATGGCACTGGAACCCAGTGCTGGTTTGAACAATAATATCTATATATATACATACTATATAGTTATATATATATATATATGTATAATTATATATACCCGTTTACATCGTTCCGTTGGATCTGGTTATAGTAGGTTTGTTTCCAAGAGGTGACGACGGAAACCACCTGAAAAGGTGCTGCACATCCTGCATTTAAGGGAAATCCGCGACCAATTTTGCGTTCAAAACACCTACAAAAACCTTCAAAACCCTAGCTACTTGCAAGAACCATCAAACGGGTACAAATCAGGAAAGTGGGTCAAACAGGTTCCTGATCCTGCCATGGTCGTGCCCGAAGGCTCGTGCTTGAATTTGACCCTTTAGACGTTGGAGTATAGCCAGTATAGCTATGGCCAAAGTTAGGCGCACTACCATGGTTCCAAACTCCAAAGAAAAACAAAAACATATGTACTGACATATCATGTGCCTCATCGCCACTGCACCCACATAGCTGGCTGAACTCACACGAGCAGATCAAATCGCGTACTTTTTAACTATATACAATATGTATAACGATATATATATATATATAACTATATTGTATAATATATGTATATACATAATATAACTATAATATATATATATATCAAGTTATGATGATGGAATCTGTTGAAGCTCCTCCCACTGCCCCAGCTCCGGCCTCAGCTCGATCTTCCAAGACACCATCGAGCCGCTCTTGAAGTCGCCGTTGCTCCTCCAAAGCCTCAAAAACTCATGGTTTATCAATGTTGATCCTCATTTGTTCAGCATATGTCCCATCAAACTTGTCATTTGGGGAAAACATTGGAAAAAAACAGAAACCTTGCCCTACCATGGTATACCCCAATAAAAAATGGAAATAACACCAAGCGGTGGCAATGAGGCTGCAAAATGCCAGAGATTTCATGAGTCGCAAAAAGAGTGGTCCTTGAACCGCTTGGTGTCCCATCACCAAAATGCCGAAAAACTAAGAAAGGGATTCCTCAAGCGATCCAGTCATCCAGTAGTGGATTGAACCATCTGGCTGAATTACCATAATTCACTAACCTAAAAATAGCTGAAATAAGGTCCTTGAGGGACCTGAAATAAGGATGTTTCTCCTTACCAACCATTCCAGATCCAGATCTATATATAATCTATATAGTTCAACTATCAGTAGGCCAAGGGTCGTTGACTTCGCATTTGGCCAACTGCTCCTTTGGATCAGAAGCAGCACAGTGGCATACAGTGGCACACTTCTTTCGGCACAACTTATGTCCTTTTGAGAAAGATAGAGGGGTGGATTTGGTATACCATTTCAATCCATTTCACATCATTTGCCTATTGATTCAGTTCAATACGCCACGTCTACTAGTGATTATTAGATATTATTAGATATTATTAGTGTATGTTGGACACCGCTGGCTTTTTTGTTGGACAAATTCTTACGGCATTCGGACCATTTGTTCCGCAATCTTTTGCTGCTCCCGTGCTGCGCCTTTGGCGTTCAACACCTTTGTTTGACGAGAAAATGGACCTCCTCAGGAAGCTGCTGGGCGTTCCAAACGAAGGTTGGAAGCGAATTGCAATGAATGTACATTGATAATCATTGATAGTACATGATAGTACATGATAGTACATGATAGTACATTGATAATCATTGATAGTACATGATAGTGTAGAATGGACCGTAAAAGATTTCTTATGAGCCTTGACCAAACTTCGTTGGCTAGGCGGCAGGCATCTCTTATGATCACTGGGTCCCCTGGAAGTCTCATACATTGCGATTCCAGTTACACTGCGATCCCTGGTTGGAAAACATGATGCACATTACAGGTCCGCCATTGGCCCCGGGAGGTCGAAAATATCGGCTGCGCAGGAAGATCAGCAAGCCACGATAACGCCAAACCGACACTGTTTGGCAGAAAACTTATGACATCAACATATTGGCAGAACTCAACAAACTCTAAGTGTTGCTTAACCGTAAACAAAAGGATTATGATATATGCACCTGATCAATCGGATCAATCATGTAACATGTATCAGAAGGACTCCAGGAATCCATCTAGGTGTTTCAAGAAAACTGGTCAACTTACCAATGATTTCAAAAGACGCTCAGTCCAATCATCACCTGCCAGAATCTCAGGCACGCAAAGCTGCAGCTTCTTGGGGATGTGTGGATCCGTCTGTTTCAGCCCAAAGCTACCAGGAAATGCTGCAGGAAATGCTGCCCTATACCATGCTATGCCAACCGTCGGAGTCGGGGGTCCGCCTGGCTTTCAACAACTGCTGGGAATGTTGCCACAGCTCTCCCCAGATGACCTGATCATAGCATCGACGGGCTGTGTTTGCCAAAAATAGAAAGCTAAACAATGATATGTATATATTTATTTATTTATTTATTTATTTATTCATTTATTTATTTATTTATTTAACAATGCTGAAAATAGTTAAGTTATATAAATAACAATACACACATTTTTAAAATGTGGTTGTGGTGCTGCTTTTGCAAGCCATATTGCGTCACTGGTGACTTGGTACAAGTGCCACGGTCAAGGGTGACCTCATCATAGGAGTTGCCCCAATTCCACGGCAGAGGGAACTTACCTCGGTGTCAGCATGACATCCGTTTCCTTGAAGCCCACAACCACGCTTTCCCGTTGAATAAACATGGCGAGAGGAAGTCGTGAATGTCCTCCATGTGCAAGTAACATCAAGTAACTTACCTACTATGTACTTGTTTTCCTATTCGAAAATGGGCAGGTCGTGAGGGGTTCCCTCTTGCCATGTCAGGCTAGAAAAGACTAGACATCTTACCATGCTCCGTCCCGGAAAACCAAGCGGCTGAGAGATGGCATGCCATTCTCCCAGTAGTTTGCAAAACCCACCTGGCTGTGGGTGGAGTCTGCTGTCCGGGGTAAAAAACCCGACCATCCATCAGTGGTAGTGGCTACAAGCGAAATGACTTGATTATCCAATACCACTTGATTCATCAGTGATAATCATTATTATTGGTGGATTCATCCAATACCTTAGCTGTTTTTTTTGGATGATAAAGCTTCCGAGAAAAAAGACAGCACATGACAGGCACATACACAGCACTTCCAGGAGACATCCGCAGACGCCGTCGGGACCAGCACACCACCGCTGAGTTTTCAGCTTTCAAACCCCCACCAAAGTCAAAGGGGATTGAAAAAAATCATTGTCGATGAGCTTCAAAACCACAATTTCCGTCTGGAATGAGAAACGTGTATTGACGTGCCTTTTTTTAACCCAGTCTAGAGATGAAATGTTCATAGCTTGAATATGCTTGAATATGATTGATTAGTTAATAAAGTATGATTAAATGGTGCTCCGAAAATCCCAATGACTTATTTTTCCCCTGGGTTAATGGTGGATTATCACTACATATGACTAGTATTACTAATATGCATGGTAGGTAAAATGAGGCGTTTGACTTCCACAACTTTCCCAGCCCTGCGCCTGTGGAGCCCCGGCATGGCGGCCTGGCAATGTCTCCGCCGTGGCCAGCGAAATCGCTGCTTCGGCCGCCTGCTCTGGCGCCTGGGAGAATCAATGGATTGAAGCCCTGCTTTTCGCCATGGTTTTCACAGTCCATCCCTATACCAGAAATACTGCGTGATTGATGAGGGAATATTGGGGGATCAACATCGAACATCAATAATGGATAATAATGGGATATGCATGAACTCTAAGCTAATCACCTTAAATTGGTTCAGGGAAAATCCAAAAAGTACACATCAGTACACCACTGTTTCTACCCTTGAATTCCGTTCCATGGAGTTCCTGAAAAAAAAGTCCCATCAAAAATTCTGGGAGATTCCATGATCAGCACGCCCAAAGTGGCGGATGTTCTTACGGATGTCCCTCCGAAGAGATTGGATGACCCATCCCAATCTCCAGAGATTGGATGTGGTTCAATTGGAAGGCTGATATACATTGATATACAGGACTTGGTCCGTAAAATTGTTGGTGGCTGATTTGTTGGATGCCATTGGATGCTCCTTCCTCATATCAGACAGGATCTTGTGTTGTGAGAATTCGGCCCTCGAACCTGCACGAGCCGCGTGAAGTAGCTGAAGATTTCCTTCTCAAAGGTTGACATGCCTTCCAGGTGATCAAGGGCAGTGCTACAGCACAAACTGCAGCTGGCTGTCACAAACTGGAACTGATCAAATGCGAACAACCGGATCCAAAAGGTATCTGTTTCCCAGGTTCATTCAGTGTCTTATTGCTTGAACCCAACATCAAGTAGTATCAAGATGTATTTTTAGTACATTAAAGTACAACCACCTACACCCGTATGTGAATAGGCAATCTCTAAGCACTAAGCCACTAAGCACTCAAGCGTTTCACCCCGAAGGGCCGGGTGCCTGCGGACAACCAACGATTCTCCTCTTGCCTGGCCCAGTAAGGGGCAGGGTCTGAGCAAAGGGTCAGTCAATTTTTTCTCCTCAATTTCCCAATAAATCAAATTTAAATACATCTCCAGCATTCTCCAGCCATGTCATCCACGTTCACCGTGGATCCCATGTCGAGTCGATCCCATGTTAAGTCCGTGATGTTTCCATATTTATCTTCTGAATGATGTGGTTTTACCTGGATTTCCATATTTCTTCATGGTTTTTACCCTCTGGTAATTTAACATAGCTCTGGAAAATCACCATTTTCAATGGGAAAATCCACTATAAATGGTCATTTTCAATAGCTATGTTAGTCATTACCAGAGCGTAACATGTTTGTTCCACTTCTATTTGATGACACAACTCGCCTGTAGAGATGCCAGCAGGTCGTCATGGGTCCAGGATCAAAGCAGCTCACAGCTACTGGACCTCCCACCTCCGATTGGGAAATGATGGGGAACTCTGTGGCCGCAACACATTCGTCTTTCGTCTTATCATGTCTTATCATGTCAAAAATATATTTTTATCTACCCAAAACCCCTGTGCCGAACATCAAAATCGACATGTTTCTGAGGACACATAGTGAAAACATGTGAAAACAATGGCAAAGCCTGCGGAAGGCTTGCATGCTTTGAGATGTTTTGAGATATGAAGAAAAGCCATAAGTCCATTTAGATCATTTAGATTGAAAAAAAACCATATCATGGATCAAGATTTCATCCCAATCCAAAATACAGGATTCTTGCCTCATTTGCCTCCCTTTTTCATGATCCAATTGCATCCACCGGTTCCACTGGGTCAGCGCACTGGCAATCTTTTCTGCAGCTCGTAGGTAAACATCACATTGCCTCGCTGGCTGATCAGTAGATTCAGTAGATTTTCTGCCCCGACCTCCAACCAGTTTCAGGTTCAGGATGAGTTAATACCCATAGGATCCATGTATGCTATATATGGTAACATTTATCATCAATATACCCCCAATGTTAGCATATATACCATACATGGATCCTATGGGATATGAGTTATGAAAAACTGAGCTTCCCCGAAGTCACTGAGCTTCTTATGCTGAACTTTGATCTTCTTTGGATCGAAACAATGCTAACCATTCGGCTGATCCCGGCACCAAGGTGCAGAGTGCTGCTTGGCCAAAGGCTTTCCAGGGCCTGTGCCATCCCCAACCAACAGAGTTTGGTCCGTTTTTTGTGCCAAAGCATTCCTTTTCTTTCTTGGGTACCCACAAAAGGACCGGTATCCAATTTGGATATGTCGTGTGAATTTTGTAGGTCCGCATTGTCCGCATAGTCAAAGTTGTTTGGATCCATTCATGTCCATCCCTTCAGCTTCCCAGGTTGCAAAACCACTGCCTGTAGGCTCCGGCAGCTTGTAGTTGCAAATCCTTCTATTGCAGGAGGAGAGCTGGTTTAGCTGGTGTCAAGCAACCGAAACCACGACTCCAAAAACAGCTCGCGTCAAGCAACGTGAGGTTCCACGGCTCGCTCACGTCATGCGTAATTGTTGACTTGCCCGCTATCTTTCTTCTTGTTCTTCTTCAAGAGTCTTAAGAACATTTAAAAACCCCAGTCAGTACTTTCTTCCCTACCCCATCCTCCATGTCCCCCAAGGCCAGTGGTAGAGCAGCACCCAAAGCAGCAAAACCCAGTTGTGGTTCTCCCCGATGGCGCGAGCTGCCACAAAGCAGGATCTCAGGGACGCGGCCCTAACATAGCAATGGAAAATCCCTATAAAAATGGAGGTTTCTAGCTGGGAAAATCATCTATTTCTATGGGCCATGGCTGCCATGGCTATGATAAATAACCAGAGGGTATGTGAATGGTAGTATATGAATGAATAGATGTGACATGATGTGACTATCTGATTTGTAAATATGTCGTTCATGTACACAAACACAGACCATGTCTCGTATGTAAACAGCGGTACACACAACATTACACAACCAGTATTTGGCGAGGCCACCAAGCCACAGGCTCTAGTTGTGTCCATGGATCCAGCGAAGGATCTTATGCCAGGCGGCTTTGCAGGGATCCTCTGGAGTGCCACCCTTCTCGAGGTTCTTCATTAAACGAGACACCTGCCAAGGGGTCTACTATCCGTCAGCTCTCGAAGAGACTGCTGTTGGTACGGCTGAATGTATATTGAAAATTATTGAAATATGATATCCCCGAAGAAGTGCCACAATTCTTGTCATATCTTGTCATACCTGCCCTTGCCATTTGGATCCATTTGGAATTTCCCGTTTCATTGATTTAATTGCGATCATTAAGCCGATGTAACCGATGTATCATCAACATTTGGATACCCAACGGCCAATCTGTGGATAATGAAAAAAGGCCCCCAAGTTTCACAGATTCCCCAATATGAGCAGTGGGCCAAAAAGCCTTCAGAAACCCTTTGAGTAGTTGATCTCGTGTACATTATTATACAACTCCTCGACGCTCAGTTAATTGCACCAACATTGCAAGCGGTTGTCCATTGCTCTAATCTAGGTTTGCCTGAAAAACCGGGTACCCCAAAACTTTATGGGAAAACCCAAGAATCCATTTCACGGTGGTATTCTCCATTTTCGACACACCTTTCCATTATCTCTTTGCAGGACAAATCTCCCGGCCATGTTGAAACGCGAAAGGTAGTTGACGCCGAAATGCATCTCCAAGCCGTCGCGAGTTTCCTCCAAAAACACACGGCTGCGCGGTCGCAGAAACCATCTGATCCGTGAAATGTCGCAAATAGCACTTGAATGAAATCCTAGACTTTCTTGCATAAACAAGCAACAGAACACTCACATGAGAGACGTTCATGTATTTTTGACATACAACGATGAGCACATAGACAATAAATCTGCCCGTGAATCTGCAAGTCACCAGTCCTCTCTCTCTTCCAGAGCCGTAACACCTGCTGCCAGCACCAAACTATGCACGGCTCGATCTCCCAAACGCTGGCAGAACTGAGCAACCTGCACAGGAACAGATCATTTCAGTCATTTTAGTGGAAGACATCAGAGTTGAAGTCGCTGATTAGTTTCCCTTCACGCGAAAGATGGTTTCTTCCCAAGGAGGAGTTTGCCCTTTGTTGGCTAGTTACCATTATCAAAGTATTACCATCTTGCTACCAAATATTCAAGCCAAACACCATGTCTTCGTCGCCCTTTGGGGCCTTGAATTGCTGTCTTTTATCACCACATGGCTGTCGCTTTGCAGTGGGTAGTGAGTTTTTTAATCTTCTGATGTTCCATCTCCATGTCCTCTACCCTTACCTGGAAGACTCTTTTGGGCTGACCATCAACCAGTTCATAGTTCATCCTCATGTCCCAGGTCGCCTGAGCTTGATCCGCCAAGTCAACAGCTTCAAAGGAGGCTTGGACCCCAACCTCAGCCCAGCTGATGACTCAGCAGGGGGCCCAGGGGGGGGGCCAGGGGCGGGCCAAGGGGGGACCAGGGAGCTGCCAAGGTGCTTCTTTCAGTTCCTTCACAACCTCTTGACCACGGTCAAGGTCACGGCCAACAAGGAGGATCCTCGCGGCAAGCGCTGAGCATGGTTCCAAAACATCGTTTCGAATGCGAAGCCCAATCATAAACCCAACTTTTTGATGTTTTGCCCATTTTCCCCCCCAAAAGAAAAGAAATTGGGTGAAGTGAGATTTTTCTTCCGCCGTTTACCATGGTTTACCACATTTGCCGATGATCCTGGTATGACATGGGTACCAGGCAGGTCCTCTGAAAGCGTCCAGATGCTGCCAGACCACGAGCGATGGCCGAGCCCAAGCGACTGGTTCCACCGGTGATGATGCAAAGCCTCTCCTGGGTGAACTGCAAACCAAGCAATCTTGATGTTAAAGATGAATACACGCCATTTATATATTCTATATATATCCATTTATATGCAGCAAATTGCAGCAATATCATGCAATATCCATGTATAGTATATCCATTTATATCCATTATGTGTTTGTAGATTGGGTCTTATAACTTATGAATACGTAACATGATTCATTGAGTACAGTGACACATCACATTACATCACCAATCTCACACCTAGGCGTTCAGAACCCCTGCTCTCCATTTGCCGCAAAGCTACTCCAAGCTCGGTCTTACCAGACAGCTCCATGCGCCTGCAATCGAAAAGCCATTGCTATCTGCCAAGATTTGGGGTTGAACCGCTCCCCATGAACGGTGTCGTCTCAAAGGCTCTAAAACCGGTGTAATAAAACGGTGAGTGTGTGATGATGTTTCTTATTTCCCGAACCGCCGGTCATGGACTCATGGACCTCTTCAAGCGCACCCTATGTTTTTCCGCGGAATCTACGTGCGTGTTTTATAGTGGCAAGGCTACTCTTCCCTTAGTTCCCATTACCACTATCAGTATATTGTTCAGAGGGGGTGGGAATTTGGAGTCTTCATGGTGGGTCAACCCCAGCGCCTGGCACTATCTTTACTCCAACACCTTCAAAAAAAAACTTAATATGCTGGATGGTCTATTGCATTCATCAAATGTTTCAAATTTCTAGGATCCAGAGTCCAAGAGTTTGTATCCTTCTCCCTCTTTTGCATCTTTCTGTACAATAAACCTCAAGTCAGAAAGTCAGAACCACTGCCTAGGCATTTGGCGTGGCTCAGCTACATCATACCGCCGTGTCTGCGGTTTCCGAGCAGCGCGGCGCCATCTGCAAGGATCAAACTATCGAAAGGATGTGGGGCCCAACTAAAGCCATGTTACTTGCTCCACCCAGACGTCACATCGTTTGTATTCAAGATGAATCAAGGTTGTGATCTTGATATACAAGCTAGTTGGATCATGTTGGATCATGATGATGGTCTGCTTTTTTTCTAACAACCAAGGTACAATGATCGAAAATATCTTAAGCTTAACACTTTTTGCCACCATTTCAAACCGGACGTTGGGCTCAGGCCCATAATTTCCCGCCTGAGGCAGGCAGCCAGACCCAAGCCTAACCGCGAGGCGCTGATGGAGTTGAATCGATCCTACGAAACCACCATATGGGTATGGGTCAATACCTATAGATACATTTTTAGTGGGATGAACATCCATTTACCAGCTATTTTGGGGTTCACTAGGTACCAGGGTTTTGACCCATCCCCATATCCACCATACAGAGTGAATCTGGAGCTATCCAGCCATTCTGATCACTCTGCACCGAGGTGAGAAGCGTGACTGGAATCATGGAGATGTCCACAGTCACAGCTGTGGAATTTGAATCATGTGTTGGGATCAAAAATCTAAGAATCTAAATCACGCGTATTGCATTGTATTACTAAATAATGCTGGAAACCGGAGAAAATTGTATGTGTCAACGCAAACATGGTATATCTTTACAGGGGTAACTCAGCCATGCAAGGCCCAAACTATAGCCTAAAGAAATCGATCTTTGAAGCAAAATGGAACAAAAGTTCTTTGAATCGAAGAGGCAGAAGCGTCTTCTCACAAGAACCGTCCGCAAACTGATTCGTCGTTGGGCATGCATCTATATAATCCTACTGTACAAATTTTGAGAGTTTCATGTAGTTTCAGTATGTTTCAGTGGTTTGCAAACATCTATGAGTTTCCCAGAGACTTAAGAATGAAGAGGAGCGAAACAGTTCAGTTGCAATTCTTCTGGGCAGTGATTATAGTCATTCAAATGCGGCGATTGACATGCTGAGTCAGATCCACCAGCACTTCATATCCGAGTTGCACTTGCCCACAGGTTCAGAGCCATGTCTAGTTTCTTTTCTCTCCACGTCATTGCTCTCGTGCCATCTTTGAACAGCTTTGGTCCGCAAAGCTCAGCTACAGAGCGCGAAAAGAGCCACAAAACTTTCGCTTGGCCGCCAGAGCAAGACAAGCCACCAAAGGTTTAGCAGTAGTCAGTAGTCCATCATGTCCATCACCATTGGGTTTTCATGGCTTTTCCAAGACAGTCGTTGCCACAGCTTTGAATTGTGTGAAGTGGAGTCGGAAAGCCGCTGGAGATTCTTCGCTGCTCACATCATCGCATCAGCGTACAACTTCGGTAGTCGGTGAAAGGGTCTTGAATAAAGATACCTTGCCATCCACAGCAGGGCAGGTGGGATCCAAAATCATTCCCCAGCGACCTGTTGCAAGCTCGAACATCGCAGGAAACCTCAGATCTGGCTGGACCTTCCATGTAGCTTTCAATGACTTGACCTAGCAGCCTAGCATCAATGTCTTTGAATGCTCAAAGCTCACCTGATTACCAATGGTCCCGTCCAAAAAAGGTCAATCCCAAACCTATCAGTTTCCCCTACCAGTAATCCGGAAGACATGGCTGAGAGGCCCATCAAAATCATCTCCGCCCATATCCCCAATTCCAAGCCCCGCAACTTGTCAGGGTAGGTGTTCAATGTGACATACTGCAAGCCACGGATGCGTGCTTCGTCTAGGGCTTTCTCGAAGATGGCCGACATCATGCCCTTTCTCTTGTGCTCCTGCGACAAATGCACTTTCAAAAGATCCAAAACAGTACAGACAGGTGCAAGTATGGGGTAGTTATGGGATAGATATGGTTTCAGTTCTCATCAAATCATACTTCAAAAACCTTCAAACAATCTTGAAATTAGCCGGTGGATGCTGGTGGACGTATTCAACCAGGCACAAACTGGATTGAAGCATCAAGCCAAGCGTCTGGACGTGTTCCCGCCATCCATAGATGCAAAGAGTCGCTCTCATGGACGCATGGCACTGTCCTTGCACTTTGAAGATCCATCGTTTCAAGATGTTTCAAGGTCTATCGAGTCTAACTTCAGACCTGAATACAGTTCAGGCAGTCCATGGCAGTCCCCAACAAGTTTGGCACCTTACTACTCTATTAAGTGGTGTCTCTGCAACATGGCAACCAAACCCCTGTCCTTTCTGTTTTCTTGCTCTGGTAAGCGGTGACAAAGCTGGCAACCCCTCCATCCTCAGGGAGCAAAATCTTACATCTCAGGAGGCTTTACCAGCAGATTCATTTCGAGGTCCTATTTATGGCCGACTTTTTTTGATGGCGTCCCAATTGTTTGGAAATGTCAAACGCCAAACCTCCTATGTGCTGCTTTCTCATCCTTTACAAATCACTAAAAAAAGGGTTAACTTCAATTGCCAATAATTTGCGGCTACCTTGCCCCTCGATTTTTTTTGTTTACAGTAAACGACCCCGGGCCTTGGTTTCATGGGCTTTTCTGACCTTAAAAACCATGAACATCCAGGGCCGGTCCTCACGGATTATGAGGTGAAAACCATCGCCGAGAGCCAGGCGTTCTTGCCATTGCTCCACCGAGCGGCCCTCTTCTTCGAAGACCACCTGGAGTGACGCTTCCTGTTGGAGGATTGGCTGCAAAAAGGAATAAAATTTATATTTTATATATATATATATATATCTAAGTCATCACCATGATATGGTAGAATGTAGAATTGTGTCACTGTGATATATTCAATGGATTCTGCAGTTTTATCTTTTTGAAATTGTGCGGATTGCTATAAGGAAAACTCTGGAGGAAAACACTATCATTCATGGTCAAAAACAAACTGGTTTTAAATGTTCCCTTGAACCAATCATACCAATCCATGGAACGATGAAGAAGAGTTTCTTGGTTTCTTGTGCGACATATTATGATGATTTGCTATAATCATGGTGGAGTACCCTCTGGTAATTTAACGTAGCTATTGAAAATGACCATAGAAATAGTGGATTTTCCCCTAAAAAATGGTGATTTTCAATAGCTATGTTAAATTACTAGAGGGTGCCTAAAATGGTATATGGATGTATATGGGGGGATCTTGCAGCCCCGATTCCATGACATTTTCACCGGAGCTTCGGTCAGCCCGCCGCCTTCTGCAGGGCGAGAACTTCCTGCAGTACCTGAAGAGGCTGAAGCCGGGATTGACTCAATCTCCCCAGTGATGGCGCTTATATAAATCATAGGGAAAGTGATCATGAAATATAATGAACCAATGGATGGAATGAGGTAGCCTTGGCCAATTTTCAGACAATACTTTTGAGGTCACAGGCAACTAGAGTACTGTTCAGGAAAATTCGATGTGTCTCTAATATTTTTCAGAGGGGTTGAAACCACCAACCAGAATTGAGATATTTGGGGTGGGCCCTTCTTGATTGGAACCCTGGATTTTTGATGATTTGAAAATTCTTGAACGAACAAGCTTTGAGAATCCCAAACCCATTGGTTTGCCTTGTGTCCAACGAAAAAACACACCAAAAGCCACTCGGTCCAAATGCAGCGCCTCCTCTCCCTTGAGGACTTCTACCGTCACCATCGCATCCAGGGCAGAGGAAAAGTGGCATGGCTCCACCGGTGGATTTCCAAAAAATGTGAGCCAGAAATGTCCATATACTATTGTTACAGGATGTTATAGGTGGATAATATATACATATATAATTATATATATATATATACAGTAGATATAGACAGGATTACACAGGCATATACTTATTGTACTTATCCCACATGGCATCAGCAAAGAATTAGTATGTTTTTTGGCTCTCCCCTCATGACAAGCCAAAAAAGAACAGAGGTCTTCACATCTGTCACCATGCTGCGAATCTTTGACAGAACTTGAAGGACTTGATAACTCTAGCTGCTTGCTGAGCCAAGTGCGGGGCAACATTTAGCAATTGCAATTGTAGATAAAAATTGAGGTGCACACTTTATTCATCAATGATGCAGGATCTTTTGTGTTTTCAAAATCTAGGCAAGACATGAACTGATCCTTGAGGATGGTCTTTCTGGATTTGCAAAAAAAGAATCGAACCATGTGACTCCAAAAGCTTGTAGCAGAGTCGATCTTTTTTCCCATTACTTTCATGTCTTTCCAATTTCGAAACTGATCCCTTGGCTTCCGGACTGAGGCTTGCAGCCCCACGCGGCGACAGGCTACTGCGGGTAGCTGCGCATCCCGGCTGTCTGCTGATAGCCTTCTGATGGCTTGCCGCTATAGCCGGGATAGCCGGGATAGCCGGGGCAGCTGGTGCCAAGGGCAGTTCCATGGCGCTGATGTTTCAGTCAAATGCTGCAGGGTCCAAAACGCTGGCATCTGAGCAATTGGCAATTGGCAAGAAAAGGGTTACAAGAAAAGCGCTACTGTGGTGAACATCCGACTAGCTGGCAAGTGGATGTTCTTCCCCCCATCTCAATTAATACAGCTGTCTTTATATATATAATATATAATATATAATATATAATATAATATATAATATATAATATACATATATAATATAATATAATATAATATAATATAATATAATATAATATATATATATATATATTATATATATAATATATATAATATATATATAATATAAAATATATATAATATATATATATATATATCTAAACTTCTCAGATGCCGTCATGCACCAAACTGATGGCAACCAGGATCATCATTGCTCCAGTCGATGCATTGATTTCAAGAAGGTTTGCAAGTATCCATGTGTTCTCCTCAAAGAGATACATCGATAACTATCTAATAGCTATATCTATCTATCTATATATATATATATATTATACCTATCTATGTATGTATATATATATATGTATATATTATACATACATATTATATTATATACATATATACATATTAAATATATAATATATACTATATACACACACACCCTTGTCCAGTATATTGTCTCTGAAGCCAATCTGAATCTCCTCGTGCTCTGCCTTGTGAGCTCGACGCGCCTGAAATGCTGCATTGACGCGCTGTATCAGCAACTGTCAATGGGGGGGGTGTAGTATAGCAACGGTTTTTAAAAATGAATATCTATGACTGATATGTATTATATATATTATACCCATAGGATCCATGTATGCTATATATGGTAACATTTACCATCAATATACCCCCAATGTTAGCATATATACCATACATGGATCCTATGGGATAGTATATACACGCATTTATTGGGATATGTATGATATATGTATGATATGAACTGTGTTATCAGGATATGTATCTGCATGATTTGTGTATGACTTTGTGTGTGTGCTGATTCATCATTGACATTCATTGACTATGTACATCTATGTATGATTAGGTATGTTTGAAAACTGGAAGGAAAAAGACATGTCAACCCATGTCAACCCATATCCCACTGTGCTCTGAAAACAGCCCGGCTTCGCATGTTCACTTTTGTGTGCCGCGTGTGGCTTCATAAAGCTAACAGAAAACTACTCCTTGCTCACCTTCCACCATTAGCTTCCTTCCACAGCTTCCAGTGGGAAAAAAAACTAGAGACCTGGCACTGTTTGTTGGTGCTATCATCATTCCAACATATTGGGGATACAACAGAATATCATCCACCATGATTGGGATATCCCCATGATATTCATGATTATATATGATTATTATCCACCATTGGGGATACCCCAACATATTCCAAATCTATCGACTTGGGGCTTTGAGGTATAGAAAGAAGCGTCGACTGAACCCATCGCGTTGGTGTTCAGCGTGTCTGATGGGAGAGGTCAGCAAGCAGCCTGAACAAAGAATTGCTGTAGAGCCACAAATTTTCAAGAGCCGAAAAAGGCGGCCATTCAATCCACGCCTTTGCAGCTCTTGACTCCGCAGCCTCATGCATTGTCTGAACCGGACTCGGATGATTCCATTTCAGACTCGTGACCCTCATAAGCCAAGATCAAGTAGTCATAGAGGTCTTCGCACTGGCCGTTGCTGGGGCGAAAGGCCATGTCTTAAGCCATGTCATAAGCCATGTTCAAAAATGGAGGGATGTTTCAAAATAGGGGCGCCCCTGGTTGCCCCAAGCCCTTCTTTATTAGTTGAAAAATACAAAGCTTGGGGCACCACTACTTTCAGACAGTCCCATATGCTGTCCAATAATCGGGTCTGCCACAAAACATCTCAAAACTGTCTACCTACTAGACGCTGCCTTTGCAATCTCCATGCGTTTTAGTGCAAATGATGTAACAACAAGATAATGCGGTACAATCAAAGATCTTAAAGTAACCCTGCAAACATGTTTGGTTACAACAGTGATAGTGATGATGAAGTTATGTTTGCTACCGGCATCAGCATTTTGGCTGCCAGGCATAGGAACTGAATTGGTAGTCAGTGGCTGCTGATCCAACCAAGAATGGAGGCTATGCAGGGCTCGTGACATGGGCTTGAAAAGGGCGTACCGCCGATTCCAGTGGACATCCTCATTTTCTTCCATCTTTTTAGCTATGTACATATGTATATACAATTATATATATAATATATATATAATATACATAGACAATAATATATAATATATATGTACATTGTACATATTATAATATATATATATAATATACGTATATTATCTGTATGTTGCTCTATTATCCCAATGGTATCCAATGGTCACAATATATGGCAAAAGTGAACCCCTCGAATTTCCCCTCCACGTTTTCGGCTCGGCTCCTCCTTGGGCGGTTTCGTGTGTCTCGCCGCTGGAGTTGGAAGGACAAAGTGGGCTATGGCATCCCAGAGCTTCAAGATGGTCGCCAAGAGCATGCAAAGAAACCTCAGGTGACATAGGTGACTTGGGAAATGGCAGAAATGTCATTGGAAATCTTTGGGGATATCAACGGAAACTTGAGAAATCCATATGGGAATCGTTGGAAATCCATGGAAATTCCCAGACCATTGCGACTGGACCATACCAGCCAAATATGGGGGGAATCCTGTTCAAAAAAGTCCCTTAAACATCTTACACCCATTCTGGGATCGGGGGCTGTACCAGGCAGCATCTCTATCATTGACATGGTTCTTCAATGAGGGTTACCCCGCATAACTCATACGAGTAGATGATAGTAGATGTCAACCGACGAGAAGATGATGAAGATGGAATGCAGAAACATGCAGAAACCCTCATGACTGAAACAGGTCTACAAGCAGAGTCCTTGGAAATCAGTGGGGGCTGGCGAGACGCTGGCGCGTTGGCAAACACTGAGATTGTGATCATGCTGGACACACGACAGACATACCAGTCTATATTAGTCTATACATGTTACATATCCATGTTCTTCAGAACTTATCTACATGGAAGGCATCATTCTCATCGTTCTCGTCGAGAGGCCCAGGTCCCATAGACCATCTGTAGTCCAGGTAGCCATTCTTTTCTTTTACCTCAATGGATGCTCGATTTCCGTCACTTTCAATGGTCTTTCCAGGTCAGGAATTACCAATTGTACGCTATGGGCTATATCCACCTACATCCCATGGATGAGGCTGTTACAACATGGCATCTTTTTGCTGCAAAGTGTCAAGCTTTGGAAATCGGCGCCAGCACTGATAGCCTGAATGACTATATGGCCGATGTGGGGGGAATGCTCACCCATGTACATAAAGGGATTCTCCTCCCACCATTCCCAGGATTCCGTTAGCCATGAACATCCCAAAGAGATACTATGACTGGAAGCGTTACCGTCACCCACTACCATCCACTACCTAAGTGGTTTTCAAAAAGGTCCAACATCATTTCTCCCCATCATGCCATCCTTTTCTATCCGTATCTGCTACGGGGATACGGGGATTCCCTTATTAGAGGAGCCATTTCGGTTTGTCTGAAAATGGAGGGGGAAGTAATTTTTCTTCGTTGTGGTGATTTAACCGGCAAATCATCACTTTCATAGGCCATCTATACCATAACAAACTGTTGAATTACCAGAGGGTATTCCAAAAGATTCTACTTGGCATCCCCATTCAAGAAACCATCCCCAAAGCATCATCATGATCTCCTCAAAAAAATGCTGGGTCCACTGGTGGATCCCCCTTTTTTTTAACGGGGGACTGAAGGAGGCCAAAGAAGAGATGCCACTGTAGGTGCCCCAAAAGGATGTGACGGCCCCCATCGTCGCCTGGGAAAAGCGTGTGATCACTGGGGAGACGCCTTCGTTTTTTTTTTGTACCACTTAGATAGGTGAAAAAACACTAGAATTGTTGTTTGTTATTAAAAGAACCCATATTAGATCACTGTCCTTAAGATTCATAGATTTAACAGTGTTGATAAGTTACACCGTTACACCTATTATAATAACGAAGCGGAAAAAACACTGGATCTACACAAATTATCAACCACTGGTACAATTTATTTGTCAACTATTTTTGGCAAATGGTCATATATACACACTGCATCTACAATCCTCTACATATGGATATGTGATGATATCTGTAGATTTGATATACCCATTGTATATCCATTCACATCACCAAGAAGCACCATGAAGTCTTGTTGAACCACAACCATGTCGAATAAGGGAACCGTGGCTGGCAAGGGCGGCCTGACAATTCACATCTCCAAAGCGGGTGGATCGCTGCAAATCCGTGGTCATCTGTGGGATCTGGGTCACAATACCTGGCGCTGACAGCATACCAGTGACTCTCATGCTCTTATGCGATGGTATTATCCGCCGACCCCGGCCGACGCAAGGGGGAGCGCGTAAGGGAAGAAGATGGAAATTAGGTGGTGTTTTTCCGTTTCGGAAGCGTTTCGAAACAGTAGGCCCAGCCATAATATTGTTTAGGCGATTCTGGGGGATTCGGCCGAAACAGCTGGCCCAGCTACCGGAGATTCTGGGGGATTCGGCTGAAACAGTTGGCCCAGCTAGGATTCTCGAAGTAGGATCTAAACTAGGATCTAGATCTAGATCTAGGATTCTCTAGGATTTCAGAAGGGACGTTAGGCAGGTTTCTGTAATATTGTTTAGGCGATTCTAGGGATTCGGCCGAAACAGCTGGCCTAGCTACCGGAGATTCTGAGGGATTCGGCTGAAACGGCTGGCCCAGCTAGGATTCTCGAACTAGGATCTAAACTAGGATCTGGATCTAGATCTAGGATCTGGATCTAGATCTAGGATTCTCTAGGATTTCAGAAGGGACGTTAGGTAGTTTTCTGCCGCGATTTTTCGTTATTTTCGGCACGAAATTAGGTGGTGTTTTGCTGTTTCGGAACCGCTTCGAAACAGCAGGCCTAGCTGTAATATTGTTTAGGAGATTCTGGGGGATTCGGCCGAAGCAGCTGGCCTAGCAAGGATTCCCGAACTAGGATCTAGATCTAGATCTAGGATAGATCTAGAG